GGCCGCTCGCGGCAGCCTCGGCAGGTGGCGGCCCGCGCCCAGCAGTGCCCCCCAGCCGAAAGGCCGCGCCCGCAAGATTGTCACGTAAACACGGCAGGTTCGTGCCGTGACGGCGCGGCGGCGACCCCGCGGAGATGTGCGGGAGCTCCTACGCGCCAAGAGGAAGGTTTAGATTCCAATAGGACGGGTCAGATCCCAACAGTACTGGTTCAGGGCCTAACTGGTCTGAACACCAGAACGCTTCAGATCCCAACAGAGCGGTTTAAGCGCTTCAGCAGCGCCTCCTACAAGGCGCCCCCTCAGCTTCGCGAAGAATTCCATAGGAATTCTTTCGAGGCTCCCTGAAAGATTCCAAACGATTCCTTAAACAAAATTCCTGACATATTCCTGTGGGTGTCCTAAGATTTTGTGGAAACTTCCGGAGGACTTCACAAGGCTTCTGGACGCAAGAATTAAGGCTCCTGATTCCTGGGGATTCTGGAAAAATCCGGAAGATTTCTCAATGATTCCTGAAGGGTTTCTGACAATTCCTTGAAGATTCTTGAAGGAGGAGGATTTGTGGAACATCCAGGGGATTCCTGAAAGATGCTTGGAGATCCCCTACGGGCTCCTAGGAAAAGGATTCTGGATTCCTGAAAGATTCGCAAACAAATCCTGGAAGCGAACCTCTTTGCAATCCGTCTGGGCGCCGTCGTCAAACCCGTCGAATATGGGAGCGTGGCTGAAACCGAAGATCTGGCGCAGCTGCGCCCACGTGTCCAGAAACGCCCTCACCAGACGGCGGTGTGGCCCGTTCAGAGTCCGCGCCAGGGCACGCCGCTCCCGCTGCGACGAATCTCCCAATATCCAACTCAAGTCTCCCAGGTCGCCTGGAAACGATAGGGCTGCGGAGTCCACGGAGCGCGCGCCCACGCATGGTGCGACCTGCAGATGAATCAATGACAGTCGCAGCACCATCCCGAATGAGCTCCAGCCGCAAGTCTCCATCACGGGAATATGCTCGCACGCGGGCGGCCGGCACCACCCTCAACTTCGACCTCGGCGATGCCGTGGAATCATTATTTGACCGAGGCACTTACGCATGGTCGTCTCCCAGAAGATGGGGGCGGACGCAGCGGGAGACGCGGATATCTGAGCCGGCAACGTCGGTGAGGCCACGACGGACCCTTGAACTTTCTGCGAACCTGTCCACTGTTAAATCTCGCGCCCGTCCATTATTACTGCACTGCGCGGCTCTCATGGAAGCGCCGAAACAGATTATGTCTCCGCGCTGCCGTCGAAGGGCCCCTCGCCTGCCTCTCTCAGTAGGGCGTCGGCGTTTGTCCAAGTCGAGCTCGCGATGCTGCTCCGACGGCCCCGCGCGCCCGCGCGCCCGCTCGCGCCGCGCGTCGTGCCCGCGCGCTCTTCGGCTGACCGACTGGCTCGAGGGAAGAGAGAACAAGTTCCTTGCGAGCTGCTCTCGGAATTCGATAATGCTGCCTGCGTTGGCGGCCCATGCCGCGAAACTCCGCGATCGCCGCGCGCTTCGCCCCGACGCGGGCGGTCTCTCGCTGAAGTAGTTGCGGAGCGGCAGCGATCCGAGTCAAGCACGTTGGGTCTTTCAGCCCAAGCTCTGGCGCCCGCTATCGCGGCGATCCAGGGGCCCATGAGGCGCGCGCAGTCGGACAGGATCTCGGCAGTCGCGCCATCGCGACGCCCCCGCCGCGCCGACGGGGGCATCTTCTGCGCATGCTGGCCACGAACTACCGCGAGAGCACGATTCTCGCAGCCCGGCGCAAGGGGCGCCACGATCTCGCGCGCATGATGGGCGGAACTTCCGCGATAACCAGGCAGTCGACCCCGCTGGGCTGGTTTGCCCGCCAAGTCGAAAAGCCACTCGAAACGGTGATTCTCGCGCGCGCACTTGGCCGCCAGCGGCGCGCGACCACTGCCCGCAATGCCAAAACAACCTGCCACCTAAAACCTCGCGCAGTGTTTGTTCATATCTATTGCGGCACAAGCTGTTGCCGCATGATGCTTGTCGCGGGGTCGTAACGGCCGGTCCGCGAGGCCGGCTGCGTCGGCGCCGTCGGGGGTCTCATGGCCGCCGTCGCCGCCGCTCCGAAACAAACGAGGCCCGCGACGTACCATCTGCGGCCGAAATTAACTGCCCGGCGAGGACGTCGAAAAGGGGCCGATGCCCCATCGCGCGACGACGTCGCAGATTCGCCCCGCAATCCAACTTGCCAGCAACTCAACTCTGCCCCAGGAAACTCACCGACAGACTCGCGCGGGGCCCCCAGAATTGAATGCATCTGCAATGTGCCGCGAGAGGCCGAGAAAGCCCTCGACCACGCCCAACAAGGCTTCGCGCCGCTGGCCCGCTCTCTGGGCCGCGCACTTCGTTCTGATGACAACTAGAAGGGCGCCGTCGCGCGCAATTTCGGCCGCGGCTCCGCCGGCTGCTGCGCCGGCGCCCGCGCGCGCCGAGCGCGTCCGCCGAGCGCGGGGGGGGGCTGGGGCATCTGGGGAATCATGCTGCAAAAGCGCCCAATGGCTTATACTTGTGCTCAGCCTGCCTTGAGCTAGAATTCGGCGGCAACGCGGCCTCGGGCGTCGGGCGAAGAAGACATGCGGCCCCTAGGGTCGAGACGACGCTGGCCTGTCCCCGCGCGGGGCCGCAGTCGGCGCGGCGGGGAGTTCGACCCCGGCGCGCCTCGTCTCATCTGGGTCTCATCGCGCCGAACGTCTGAATGCGGGCGCAAAGCGGCCTTGCTCCCAGTGGAAACAATGGGCCCTACGCCCGTCGCCCTGGCGCCCCCCCCCCCCCCCCATTCAACGTGGGGGGGGCGGGCGCGCTGGCGCGCCGACGGCCGCGCGGAACTGAAGCCGATGCCGGGCGCCCCCGCCTCTGCGCAGAAGCCCGCGCGGCGGCGAGATGCCCCTGCGAGGCGCCGCTCGCGTTGCCAGATGCGTTTGCGCGCTCCTGGGCCGTTGGCGGGGGGGGGGGGGGGGGGGGGGGGGGGGGGGGGCGGGGGAAGGGTCGCGCGGGGGGGGGGGCTAGTTGGGGGCTCGAGGGGGGCGCGATCCGATTCGAAGCGGGCGCCCTGGGCGGCTTCTGGAGCGCCGCGGAGCTCGACGGAGGAGACAAGATGGAAAGGGGATGGCGCCGTCGGCGGACGCGCGCGACCGGCGCGTCACACTACTGAAAGATATATTGAAATTGACGCCGCGGCCGTGGGTTCCAGCATATGTCGCCGAGTTGTGTGCAGCGACGGCTTCTGGTGCAACGACGTGCTGGCCGTCTGCGTCGCCGGCGCCGTCGTCGCTCTCGCCATCGGTCGCCCGGACCGCCAGATGGGGCGACTCGTGATCGGGGTCGGCGACCGCTCATCTGGGCCGAGCCTCCAGCATCGTCGGCAAAGTCGGCAACGCCCCCCCAATAGACAACGTGCCCTAGACTGGTCCAGATCGGAAACTTCGTTGCTGCAGCGCCCAATAAACAATCCGGAAGGGAGCCGATTGGCAGGAAGAGCGGCTGGCCCAAACGGCGACCCGCGGGAGGGGTGTTCGCAGATGACGCAAAGAAGGGGCCACCGCGAAACAAACGTGGGCAACTTCGCCATGACTTAGGGCCAAAATCGAAACGCGCGCGGAACAGCGCGGCGCAAATCTGACACGCGCGTGAGAGAAATATCCGGCCGTGACGACGTCCGCGCAGCAAGCGCTAACGATCCGCGCCAAGTGCGGGCCGTTTTGCGCGCACCCCCCCCCCCCGCGCTCTGCCCCCGCCCCCCCCCGGCGCGGGGGCCGATTGGACCGGGCCCTTTTCGCGACGAGTATTGTCCCAGATTCCCTTGCGCTGCTTGTTTTTCGGAGTCCTCTTCTTCTTCCTCCTCCTCCTGCTCCTTCTGTCTGCCCCCCCTTCTACTTCCGCCCCCGCTGCCTGCTGTTCTCCGCAGCGTTTGATCGGCCGTAGGGCAGCGCCCGCGATGTCCGACGAGCTTGCGCCGATTGGCGGCGCGATTGCTCGCGTGGTTGCGACGAGCTCTGGGGCCCATGGATCACTGGGCACAGGGCTACTGGATCACGTCTGCGAAGTTTGGCCCAGGGTAGTGGGCCGCTGGGGCGCGCGCGCCAATGGAACATCTTTCGAAAGTGCCAGTGGGATGGTACCGTTTAGGCAGTTTGCCAAGCGGCCGCTGAGCATCTGCGCTGCCGGAAAACTTGGACGATGGTTATCTACATGCCTGATCCATTGGACCGCTGTGCACGTTTGAACTCTGGGCAACAGGTTGGCACAACCACTGCTGCGCTGGGTCGTCTCGCTGCGCCAAACGGACAAAATAGGATGTACTGTGGAGCGCCCGCGCGGCTTATCTGCGCGGGGTTATGCACCCCCTTCGGCTCATTCGCATGCATGTGCTCTTGCGTCGCCGACCGTGCATTTCACAAAGTGCTCGACTACGTCGCAAAAGTCTGGGTCTCCTACCGGAGGACGTGCGTTTCTTCATGTCATGTGCGTGTCATGTATGATTCAACTACGTTTCGTATATCTGGCATGTACGCCTCGCGTCCGTTTCGTACATGTCGCATGTACTTTCCAAAAACGCACCCCACACGCTTCGCAGACGTTCCATCGACCGGTCGCAAATATACGCTTCGCAAAATTTCTCAAACACGTAGTGTCATGTACGTTTCGTATACGTGTCATATATGTCTCGACGACGCTTCAAATACGTTTAAATTCGTTGCGTCTACGTGCCATATACGCTTCGTGAAGGCATTGTATACGGTTCGTACACGGCGCCGCCTTGGACCTATATCCGGCGTCAACCCATCAAAATTCTACTATTTATGCGACGTCCCCCCAGGAGCGCCGCGCGAACCTAGTTCTCTTAAAGTAAAGACGCCGTGGCGGGCGTTTTCAAGCCACACCACTCAGGAAACGATATACTACAAGACGGGTGTACTATTTGTTCGGGTCGGACGCGCGCTTCCGAGGAAGACATCTAGTATTA